CTTGACATGTAAGACTATACTTGTTTTGTTAATTTAGTAGAGCCTCCTCTTCAATGAGTTGTCACATCACCCATGTAATACCTTAAATTTTTTTTTTTAAAAAAAAAGTCAAACTTGTCAAACAAAAAAAAAGAAAAAAGAAAAAGAAAGCTACTGGCGGTGCCGAAATCAAATCCATTCCCATTTGAATATATATACAATCCAAATCAATAAAAACACACACAACATATATTCAAAAGAAAATGAACCAGAGATAAAAAGGAAGAGAAAATAGAGAAAAAAAAGGGAAGAAGAAGATTAAGAAAAAGAAAAGAAGAGAAAGATTTCACCAACATGATAGAAAATAAGTTCTTTTACTATTATGCTTGAATTCTTCAAAGTTAAAGGTGGCGATACGGATATCGAGACAGCTTACCAACCGAATTGATTTTGCAAACATAGTTCTGTGAGTGGAAAACTATAAATATTTTTAAAGTATTTATAAATTAAGTATATTATCAAAGTATGTGCAATTATGTGTTCGATTATATGATTATTATGAAAATTTCTTTTATTATGATATATATGATCTCAAAGATTATTTATGGCACATTTGTGACTTGGTATGTAAGATATGTGATATTGAGATTTGTTTGGTATGTGAGACATGTAATATTGAGATCGACCAGAAAAGTACCCATGATTATATACTTCTTCTAGTTCATAGATGGGCCTTGCCCGTATTCTATCCTACACGGAGGGGTCTTGACTGTGTACATATAGTTCACAGCGAGGTCTTGGCCGTATTCTAGAATTAATTATGAGAGATCTTTGAGTCCGGCTTTCGTTTACGGAGGGGACCAAAGGCTTGTAGCGAAAGTTTTCAGCCCGATAGGCGGATTACAGATTTCAAACAAATGGTACATTTTTGGTGGATTTTTTTTAGTTTATTTGATAGGATGAGATTATAGTATGGTTATCAGTTGATATTTATAGCTTGATTTTGATATGACATTTGTGACGTATGTGAATGTCTTACGTTTTGGCTATAATTATATGATATTATCTTGCGAGTTATTCAATGATATGAACTCGATTTTGATAAAAATGTAAAATTGAAAAAGTATAAATATTTTGGAACTTCTCCACTCACTGAGCTATCAACTCATATATATATTTTTTTGTAATTTTTCCTAAAGGTAGCAATCGATTCTTTTTAGCTGAAAGAGCCTAATGATTTCGTAATGAGAGCCACACGACATTTTCGTTGTTATAACTCATATTGATGAAGCGGGAAGTAAATAATTTGAGCCCATCGCATTATGTGTTACACAAGCATTTGATTTTGATGCATTTTTTGAAGTAACTCATAGTTAGCTTTGGTGAAAAATTTAACATCTAGTCAGCATATATTATCGGTGCACGTCATGTTTCGGGTCCAATAGGGTGATTCAGGACGGGTCGTATCAACCCACTTGTTACAAGATCTTGTATGAAGATCTTCCATAAGATACCTTTATTGACCTTGCCCCATCTAGAGGTCTCGACTCCCCATATAGGTTCAACCAATTGCCACATGTGTAAAATGATGTGGAGTGCGGGCCTAAGTTCTCTTGTTGTGCGACTGGCTTAAAGCCTCATTGGAAGAGGCTTAGCATTAGTCCTTCAAGTCCATGTATGAATATTAATCTAATGAGTGGACTTAGAATGTACAATACAAATTAATTTTTGAAGCAGTTTGCGAACTTAAATTAAAGCGAAGCTTTTGCATTTATGCAAGCCTTTGAGAGAAGATGAAGCCTATGATAAGGTTGAATTGGACTTGGGCAAGATCCTTCGCATAAAGGAGAGCCCATTAGGGAAGAGGCATCTGTTTATAAGGTTGAGTTGAACTTGGTCGAGGCTCTTTACATAAGGTAGAGCCCATTCGGAGAAGAGGCAGCCGTATATAGGGTTGAATTGAACTAGGTCGAGGCCCTTTACAAGACCATTTGTATAAAGGAGAGCCCATTAGTGAAGAAGTCGTTGATAAGATTGAATTGAACTTGGTCGAGACCCTTCGTATAAGGAAAAGGCCATTAGGTGAAGAGGCAGCCAGTGATAAGGTTGAATTGAACTTGGTCGAGGCCCTTTGCAAGATCTTTTGTATAAGGGAGAGTCCATTAGTGAAAAGGTAGATCTCGATAAGGCTGAGTTGAGCTTGGCCCCAGCCCTTTGCATAAGGAAGAGGCAACTGTTGCTAAGGCTAAATTGAACTTGGCCGAGGCCCTTTGAACCCATTTTCCTCTACTTTCGAGGCCATTTTACTTCTTTACAAGGTAATAACCCTTCCATGCAAAGGCTTTCTCCATGGTGTTTGGTCCATCCATGAGAGGGGTTAATCCTCTAAGTTAACAAGTTGTGGCTCTTTGTGGGATGCATCATAGTTTTTCTTGATGAGGCTATTTTACCAAATTACATGAGGATAGCTCTTCGTTGTAAGGGCTTCTTTCATGGTATTTGATCTATCCATGAAAGGGGTTAATCCTCTAAGGTAACAAGTTGTGGCTCTTTATGGAATGCATCACACTTGTCCTTGATGAAGCTAGAGAGTTCTTTATTGCAAGGGTTTCCTTCATGGTTTTTGTTTCATTACATGGAAGGGTTAATCTTCTAAGGTAACAAGTTGTGGCTCTTTGTGAGATACATCACACTTGTCCTTGATGAGTTTATTTTGCCTCCTTGCAAGGGATGACTCTTCTTTAGAAGGGCTTCCTCCATGGCGCTTGATTCATCCATGAAAGGAGTTAATTCTCTAAGGTAACAAGTTGTGGCTCTCTATGGGATGAATCACACTATTTTCCTCCTTACAAGGGGATAGCTCTTCCTTATAAAGGCTTCTTCCATAGTGTTTAATCCATCTATAGAAGGGGTTTTATATAGTTTAAACACTGATACATAGTTAAGATAAAGCCTTGCATGGTGGAGGCACCGATGCATAAGTGAGATGGGGCCTCGTATAGCGGAAGTACCGATGCATAGGCGGGATTAGGTCTTGAATTATGGAGTCCAATGTTATAGGGATAAGGCCTATTAATTCATCAAGTGTGACCCTTTCTTTCAAGGATCCTCACTTCTTCAGGAGTTATTATTCATAGCCTCTTTTTTAGAGACATTCATTATTCAAAGATAGTAGAGGTGCTCATGCATCGTTGCGATGAGGCCTTCACACTTAGAAGAAGTTTTAGTTTTCAAAATTCTTCAAATATGACCCATTCTTT